GTACCTGAACTCCATGGGAGGACAGAGGGGATCCCACTGGGTTTGGCTTGGCTCTGGGGTCGTCTTCCAGCTGAGTATATGCATACGCTTACTTCAGAAGAATCCCTTAGGGAGAAAGTTTCATTTTTTTACCACTCATATTTGTTCCTATCTGCTCACATGATTACTTTTTTAATTGATAGAACATTTACACAGCTAGACTTTATTTTAAGCTTCTGTTGTTTTTTTCCCCCATCTCGTCATTGTCCAGGTTAAGGGGAGAGCATGAAGTGATGTTGCCACACAATGTCCCCTACAGACCCTTGCTGTGACCCCCCAGGATGCCTGTTTGCAAGGTGAGTGGTGAAAGCCACCTCCAGCACTACCCACCTGCAGACCGGGCCACGAGGTAAGTACAGGGAGGAGATGCCTTCACTTGCTGGTGATGCTACAGCCAGATCACCCCGGGGAGCTTAAAAGCAAAAGGGTGGAGATGGCATGACACAAGGTATGACATTTCTCAGCTGGTGGGGAAGAGGGGATGGTGCCTCCCAGCAAGACACAGTGTCACGAGGGCATCGTGAGTCACTGGTGGGCTTTCCCTAGCTGGAAGCAGAGACAGGTTTCCCCACTGTCAGTCCGACACACACACATACCCACACCCTCCTCCAGCAAGGTCAGAAATAGCACCCAGCACACACCCTAACACTCACGTACCAGTTTATCATGGAGATGAGCAGCTGAGCTTCTCCTTTTCTTCCCTGTTGCAAAATCCTACAGCAGGAGCCTACCAGCTGACAGAGGTTGAGCAATGCCATGCAAATGAGCGACGACACAGAAGAGAGGCTTTAGCAAGTGTCATCTCGAGCCCAGGGTCCACCGCCGCACTGAGCCATGCCCCGTGTCAGAGGGGGACAGCAGGGAGATGCTCATCAGGGATTTGCACCATGGAGCCTGCAGGTTGGCTGCTCTTCTCACTCAAGCCAGGTGGGCATCAAGAGTCCTCCTCACCCCTCCTTGCCAAGCCTGGGACCACGCAGCCTGGAGAGGAGAACCTGCCCTCCTACCTTCTCACCAGCAGGCCACCACCAAAGCTGGGCAACAAGAGTCATGGAGGGGCCCAGCATCATCAGCAGTGACCTAACTTAGGACACTTTCCTGCTCAACCCTTCAGAAATGATCTCCAGATCACTGTTGCGTCCCATTGGTGTGTCATCACCAAGAGATAAAGCACCAAGTTTCAAACTGGGATGTGGGTTTGATCAGTAAATTTGATCTCCTGAAGGATCCACGCTACAGTGGTTCTAAGGCATTGCACATTAACGATGAATACAAACAACCTAGCATCTTCAAACCCTCACTAAGAGGTCTCCACACCTTAGGCTAAGCAATATTGTACACCCTGAGCACATGTGGATTGGCAACAGCACGGGGCGGCCCAGCCCTAGGGCTGCAGGGTGACCTGGATCCTCACATGCTCGCTCCCTTTCATAATTGTAGGAAATTGCAATTTAGGCTGTGTGCAGAGGGAAGCGTCCATACCTGGCAGGAGTGCTGATAGAGCGTCAAGGATCTCAGAAAGACCCTGCAGGGCCATGTCTCAGTGAGCAGCACGAGGAGAGGATGAGGCAGGAACCCGGAGTGCTCCAGTGCTGGCCATGCCCTCTCCAACAGGGCACAGTCCCATGGGGTCTCAGCATGGCCACAGAGCTGAGGGTGGGACAGGGTCCATTGGCAGGCCCAGACACAGCGAGGGGCTGAACCGGGACCAGGGTTCCTCCAGGGAGCCCTGTCTGGAGCAGGAGACAGGGCTGGAGACAAAGCTCCAAGGCAGGTCCAAGGTCCATGCAGCAGCGAGGGCTGGAGATAAGGACATACCTAATGTAGCTCAGATAGAGGACATAGGCTTAAGCTTAAAGGAAGTCCTGGGCCATGGGCAGAGGAGGTGTCTGGGTGAGGGTCCCAGATAAGGTAAAAAAGCCAAAGACAACCTGTAGCACATTTCTCAACAGTCCGGGCTCTTCAGTTCTTGTGGTAAAGCTGCTTTAGATCACAGACTGTCACGCAGGTAAGATGCTTTTCAAAAAAGCCAGATAGGTTGAATGCTGCCAGCTTGGTCAGGTGGGATCAATACTTCTGCTTCTTCACATTAATGAGGATACAGCCCCGTTGCCTTCAGTTGAACATGCCGTAGTAGTGGCACACCAGTAATGCCCACAGGCTCCAAAAACATCATGGCTTTCACAGCTCTGTGTCTCAGCTGCACTTTGCAGAGCTGGGAGCTACAAGTCCATGTGAGTATGCGTCTGCAGGTGGAGGCACTGCTAAGGAGAGCTACGCTTCTCAGTGAGTTGGCCCTAAATCTCTCCCCAAGTCCCAGAGCCAGGAAAAGGCTTTGGGTTCATGAGCTGTAGCAGCCGCAAAGCTCTGCCCCTTCCCTAAATTTAAGGAAGCATGACCCCAGAATTGATCTATCAGATGCAAGGAAAACATAACAAGAGACAAAATAAAATAAGCCCTTTCCTGGTCACTCATTCATGTCTGCCACCGACACTTGAAACGGTCGAGCACCAAACACAGCTAAAAATGAGGGCGCAGGGTTCAGCTGACCAAGCTATTGCCAGCCAGCCAAGCAGAAACACCGGCCAAGCAAAACGGTGTTGGGAAGGGAACTTCCACTAATGCTCTTAGCCTGTTGCAAATGCAAAGTAACACAGCCCACAGTGGAAGGTGCTTAAATGAGGTTGGGCTTTTTTGGCATTTGCTCCGGGTGGAGAGCACATAGGGACAATCACCAAGGCTGACAGTCAGCATCTTGTGAGGGTGGGGTAATGTGTGCCATTCATTCGTGTCCTTAGTCATTGGCATTTCATGAAAATGCAATACCTTTGAATTCAGGAGTTTGTAACACTCAAACTTCATTTCCTCTGGCACGGCCACTTTTTTTCCCCATGTGCTGTTCAGAGGTGCTGGCTAATAAACACAGCTGAAATGGTGGAAATGCCTGGTTCCATCCATCTGCATCCTCATGTCTTGCCTAGTCTCCTTACTAAGGAGACCAGTGCAATTACCCATCCAGACCTCAAGCCAAGATGATAAAAGAGAAACACAGGCAAACCCACCAAAAGCATGATGGAGCCCCTTCACCACTGCCTAGTGCTTGTATAAACAGACTGGAAAATGGGGAAGCAGCATGTACAAACGAAGGGAGTAGTTAGAAAGAATGACAGGCGAGGGCACATGAGCGGCTTTGCACCAGGATTTCCTCAGTTGGCAGTTACCGACCCAGTGACGCGGCAGATGGGCACCAGCGCAGTCACTGGCCTGGCTGGCAAGGGGCCACCTTCATGCCCAGCCCTTGGAGGCAACGGGGAGTGATGGTGGGGAAGCAGGGGGAGTAATTCCTATCAGATCCGAGCACATCCTGGATGGAGATCCTTGGTGTCGGGCAACCAGCTCATGCCCCTGACAACGCAAATCAAGATGTGGCCTTGCGCTCACTGCAAGCTCATCAAACCCCAGCAACGATGAGAAGTGACATTCCCCTTGGGAGAACGAACAACCCACAGCAGACGCACTCCTAGGGAACTGCGTTTCCCGCTAGAAGCTTGTTTTCTGGTTACTCTTGTTTTGCTCTCCCTCACTAGGTCTGAGCCTCATCAAGATAGCACTTTTTTTTAGGCAAAGAGTAACAGCATCCTTACCCTTCTCACCTCAAGCTGCTTTCTCCAGCCACCGGATCACTTCTGCAGCACTTCTCCGCACCCTTCCCACTGTGCTTTCACAACAGGACCACCAGACCCGGACACAGGACTCCTGGGCTTGAGGATAAACATAGGGCATGACAGAACATGGGACTCAACTTTATCCCTGGGTGACACTTACACCACCAAGAATGCATTTATTTCAAAACAGAAAAACCAAAGACACCACATAAAGAAATGCACTAGTAGGACCATGCAAAACAAGCAGCATCCTATTGTTCACCTCAGCACCTTCACCCACTTCCAAGACTCCTTCTCTTGACCTGGCACCTTCCCCCATTACCTGAAGATGAAACTTCAAGGGGATCCTGTTCCTTCCTTGCAGTCTTCCCCTAAGAGTAAAAACCCGAAAGTCTCCTCCTATGCACAGTACCAAGCTCCAGTCTCACCCACCTTCTGCTCAGGGAAGTTTCCTTGGCTCTTTTCCCTGTGTGTCACATCACAAGACATTGAAAAGCTAAATTTTTTTATTTTTTTTTTTTTTTTACCCTAGACCTGGAGCTCTCTTTCCCCACAACACCATACTTTACTGAAACGGAGGGGAAGACCCCACCACTTAGATTTAGAGGGCTTCTTCTGGGGAACACTCGCAAAACAAAGCCAGGCTTTGTGGACAATACCCATTTACTATAAAACTACACTGGGCTGATAACAATGTTTTACTTACTTTCTTATTAGTTATCCACTTAACACCAATTACTGTTTCCCCCTTGTTTCTGCACTAGGCTGTCCTCAGGCTAAACAGGTTGTGAGTGTTGGGATCATCTGTCCTTTCCCATGCAGGCACACTCTTCCCAATTTCCCTGCAATTCTCACATTCCTTCTCACCCCATTCTTTGGGCATGATAAATTAGGTCACAAATAAAATCAAACCCTCCAAGACAGATACTCAAAGAAAACCACACAACACAGCAATTACTAATTAAAGATTTTATGCTTACAGTAGTCATTTAACAGGGATATCAAGTCGTTTGTTTTTTTTAAATCAGAATTCTGATGCTGGAGTTAGTTTATTGGGAAAGCTGTATGGACACCAAAACAGCTGCTCTAAAATGTAATTACAAAGGAAAAGACAAAGTTGAGATCATACTGTGCTTTAAAGGAAAGTTACATAGTTTAACTTGCATAGCACAAGCATACAGAAGTAGTTGAGTTAACGGGCATTGATTAAGCCCATCTCTATTTGTGTTATTGCTTTTTTTTTTCCTTTTAAATCCAAGCAACTGGTTGCTTGTCTCTGCTGGAATCAAGGTAGGCCTACTGGCAGGTACTCGACTGTAGTGTAATTTGGTTTTGCCAAGGAATGCTGTACACTACAAAGGTGCAAACAGCATGCTAAGGAGAGAAAGAAAAAAGCAGTTATCAGATTAAGAACATAAACCAGTGTCATTGACAGCTGTTCTACACTGATTTACTCCCCAACATGATCCAGAACATATACCACCTCCATGGCTCTCTAGATTCACATTCTCCTGGCAAGTATTGTGGAACACCACTCCTGTTAGTACCTGCTCAGGATAAATCATTTTTTTCAAATAAACACTCCCAGGGAAGCTGAGCAGTCAGCACTTCTGAAGAGCAGGTTACCTCCTTTACCCATGCACACACACGGAAGCTTTTGGCATGGGTAATACTCCAACATAAGCGCTCAAGCACAGGTAAGCACACCTGCAAGCTAATCTATATGTGCACATGTCAAACCATTGCAGCTGTCGTAATGGTACACACAAGCTTCTAAGTGGATCACTTGTGCGCAGTTACACTTTGCATACATGCAGGCAGAAAGGGCATGTACACAGAAAAGCTAAGCCTATCACTGCTATTAACAGAAGTAATGAAGTACTACGGAAGAACTGGACTCAGGCCAGATCAAGGGAGACATATTTGGTGCTCTCATCTGAAAAGCTAAGTACTCCTTAAAAAATGTTGCTATTAAACAGAACTCCTGTGTAACAGCTTGGTGGGTGCAGAGAACATGGGTCATCTGCCTCTTGCAATCAGTGCTTAGCCCAAAGCGCTATTCACAGTCATGTAAGCCCCTCAGGAAAGCGTGTCACATCAAGCATGTTTATAGCACCATGGGACAAGAGGAGTCAATAATGGTATGGGGACTCAGGACACTGGACCAAGAGCCCAGAAGCCTGCAGGCTTGGCAGAGTTTCCTCCATGTATCCTTGTGACCCAGACCATGAGTACTTTTAATTTAAAGAGGATTAAGGCACACGCAGTCCTCCATGCACCACAGCCTCAGGTCCCCACTTACAAAACAGGCTAAAAGGCCCTGCCTTCTATGTCACCACCACCTGGCAAGACAAGTTCTGCAAGGGCAGTACCTTGTTAAGTGTAAAGGTATGAGGTATCGCATCCTGGCTGGGGCAGACAGGGGACACTGCCTATATCGCTCTGTACTAAGCCAGCTAGAGGGAAGGGGTTGGAAACCCAGGGGCCAGCACGCTGTGTTCTGGAACCTACCTTAGCCATCTGCGGAACATCATGGAAAGCACAGTTCTGGATATCAGTTACTGGCTTTTGGCAAGTTGTCCGGGCAATCTCAACTTTTATGGTGTACTTGATTCCAGCCACAATCTGCAACAAGACAAGTGGGCAGAAGCAGCTTTATTTAGAGCACATACAGAAAGGCTCTCCAATGAGAGAAGCCCAGCAGAAAGTCAGTTAGTTTTCTGGTTACATGATGGAAACTAGACCCCAAAAGTACAGAGGGGATTGTGTGTGGAAACCTCCACAGAAGAGCCACTTGGCACCCTTTCAAAAACAGGAAACAAAATCCAAGTAAACAAGTTTCACCATGCAGCTTCCTTAGTCAGTAAACAGTGACATGCGTTAACTCATCAGCAGTGTAAGGAAGTTACTAGCTTCTTCCATAACACACAGCACCCAAGGGCATTCACATTGACAATACCCAAGCCATA